CATAGACCTATTAACTCATGGACGGCGCTTTCCTCACCTCCCGTCCATTTAAACAAATAAGATATTGAGTGAGAGAGACAGATATCTGGTCGAGAATATCATGGGAAAAAAACAATAAAACTGTTTATTACTCCATGTACTAAATAATAGTACTCTTTTTAGATTCTAAATATATTTATATAATATATTCTAAATATATTTAGCCATTCTTCTAATAATATATTTTTTACTTACCTATATTGTATTGTAATATAATATATATTTTTAAAGTTTTTAATATAATTAAGATTCCTCTTATATAATATATATTTACACTTGTAAGTGTAAAATAATGAAGTATTGTTCTATTCGAGGATGTTCAAAAGGAAAAGGAATAAAAATGCACAGGTGTGTAATATAAATATTTTTAATTTGTATTGAGACACATCCATTCATTGAAATTTAATTATTAATATTTAATAGCATTCCCAAAGATCGAGAAAAAGAATGGCTTAACATTATAAAAAAGCATCAAAGAGATTTTAAAATGACCAAAAATACAGTTATTTGCTTTAAACATTTTACAGAAGAAGATTATTATATTGGTGGTGCATATGATCGTTTAATTTTAAAAAAATCTGCTTTACCCAGCATATTTAAAAATTTATGTATGTAAATTTTTAATGCTTTAATATATGCCAAGTGATAATTTTATAAAATAAAAAAATTGTTATTTGTAAAAATAAAATGTAGGTGATGATCAAATCAAATCGGTTATGCCAGAGTCCTCTGTTTCACCAAATATTATCAATATGGATCATGATTATTGTTTGCCAACTCATATTTCTCACCAAAATTCTGTGATTTCTGGTAAGCAAGAGTTCATAGGTAACTAATTAATTATCATATATTCATACCTATTTTATTTTTGTGACTAAAATATTTAAAATACAGTTTATTATTTTATTTAGATTCTAGTTTTATGAAAGTAAAAAGTATTCCTACACCTTCAATCACGCCAAATGATTTATTAATTTGTGGCAATGATTTTTCCATCAATAATGACAATGATTGTTCCATAGACAATGTTTCTGATGCTGATTCCATAGACAATGTTTCTGATTCTGATTCCATAACAAAACTTATGCCTCAAAAAAAGTATTTATTTACATTTAAGTATGTTTAATTATAATGTTCTACAAAGTATATTATTGTACCTATCATTTCAGAAAACGTAAAGTTTACATGGGTGACTTTAGTGAATTTTCAGATATAGAAAGCCCAAATAGCAGGCTCAAGTTCTGGAATGCATGTAAAGCACTATGTGATAACCAAAAAAAAAAAATTAAACTACTTGAAAATGAAATTCATAATCTCAAAAACAAATTGAAAACAGTTAATAGCTTGGTTGATCACTTACAAAATGAAAAAAAACTGATTTCAAATAATTGTATTTCTATTTTAAAGGTTTGTTTTGTCTACCTGCATCCATACATTTATGTGTTGGCAATACATGTTGAACATAAAACAAATTATATAAAATAATTTTAACTTTTTTAAATACATTTTGAAAGAAACAACTCATACCTAACAATTATTTAAATATTATTTAAGTATTTATTTATTTTATTATTTAATAACTAATTATTTTTATTAAATCTTTTATTTTATAATTATATAATTGTTTTTTGTATCCATTGTTGTATTTAGTTGCTTGTGGTAAGTGTATTGTGTAACCAGTGCCTAAATTTAGGAGAAGTAAAACGAAATATTTATTTAACATAAACTTAAATTTAAGTTTATGTTTCAATAAATATTATGTCTTAATAATTCTTTTATCTTATAATTTTTTTTTTTGTATCCATTGATTTATGGAGTATTACCTATATAATATATAATGTTGTTGCATGTGAATTGTGATGTATTTGTATTGTGTTAGTTTCACTTGATCATATTAATTACTTTAAATACTAATATACTATGTGTCTTAAAAATTCTTCTATTTTTATAATTGTTTTATGTATCTATTGATTTATGCCATATTGTCATATGGTATATAATATAGAATATATATTTGGATTTATTTGCTAGTGAAGAATTTGTACTGTGTCTGTCATGTTTGTGAATATAATTACTTTGTAGCAAATTATTAATACTCGTCTTGAATCTTTGTTATTTTTATGAATTTTATTTAGGATAGTTTATCAACCGCTCAATCTGAAATAATTATGAGACAATTGAATTATTCAGAAAAAATAATTAGTCCAGAATTAAGAACTTTTGCTTTGACTTTACATTTTTACTCGCCTTCTGCATATAATTATGTAAGAGATGCGTTTAATAAGTCTTTGCCTCACCCTAGCACCATAAAGAAATGGTATTCGACAGTTGATGGCGCACCAGGTTTTACTGAAGAAAGTTTTAAAGTTGTGAGATCTAAAGTTACTGAAATGGCTCAAAAAAACAAAAAACTTGTATGTGGAATTATAGTTGATGAAATGTCAATAAGAGATGATCTTCATTTTAATGGTAAACGCCTCCAAGGTTATATTAATTTTGGACTGAAAAACACTGAAAATGCAGGTAGCGTTTTTGTAGCAAAAGAAGTAATAGTTTTTTTGATAGTGGCGTTGAATTCCCACTGGAAAATTCCAGTTGGATATTTCTTAATAGATGGTTTAAATGCTCCTGAAAGGGCAAAATTAGTCAACACTTGTTTGGAGATGTTATCAGACACTGGAGCCATAATAAAAACATTGACCTTTGATGGAGCTGCGCCTAATATTGCTATGGCAAAACAATTAGGTGCTGATATTCCAAATAATCCTACTTTTAACCATCCTATAACAAATGAACCAATTCACATATTTTTAGATGCAGCACACATGCTGAAGTTAGTTAGAAACACGTTAGGTGACTTGAAATATATATATGATCAAAACAATGATAAAATTGAGTGGAGTTATTTTTATAAATTAGTTGAACTACAAGAGAATGAAGGCTTGCATTTAGCAACTAAAATTCGTCGAAGACATATCAATTTCTTCAAAGAGAAGATGAAAGTACGTCTTGCTGCTCAAACATTAAGTGCTAGTGTAGCTGATGCCCTTACATATTGCCAAATAAATAAAATTCCTGGATTCAATAATTGCAACCCAACTATAGAATACTGCAAAAGAATAAATGATATCTTCGATTTCTTAAATACTCGAAATTTTCTTGGTAAACAGCAATACAAAAAACCATTGTATATAAGTGATGAGAGTAAAATCATAAAATTTGTAAAAAGCTCTATTGAATACTTAAAATCATTAAAATATCAAGATTTTAAGCCAATAACAAATTCAAAACGTAAGACTGGATTTAATGGACTCATTACCTGTTTAAACAGTGTTTACAATTTGTTTAACGATACAGTTAAAACTGGAACTATGGATTTTATTTTAACTTACAAAGTATCTCAAGATCACCTCGAAATGCTTTTTTCGGAGATAAGATCCAGAGGAGGATTTAATAATAATCCGTCTGCAGCCCAATTTGAGGCAACATATAAAAAGCTATTGATACACACTGACATATCAATATCAAACAATGCAAATTGCACACCCCAGGACTCAACAAATATTCTTCATGTTTCAAGTAATAAAAAGAAACCAACTCAAAATTTTTTGGATATGCTATGTGTAGAAGAAGAACCAAATATTATTATTGATGACAATGAAACAGGACAAAATTTACCAAATTATAATACACACACAGTTGAATACATTGCTGGATTTGTTACAAAGAAAGCTATTAAATTTTTAAAATGTGAAGTTTGTATTCAAGCACTGAAAACCACTACTGATACAAAATATTTATTAATTGATTTAAAAAACCGAGGTGGTCTAACTAAGCCGGTAGAATATGTAGTTAAACTATGTAAAATTTCCGAAAAAACATTTAAAACTTCAATCCAATGTGCAGTTACAAGCAGAAATAACCCTGTAGATTTTTTAATATTAAAATGTATGTCTCAAATAACTAACATTTATGAATATTTTCCAAGTTTGGATGATCATATCTATTCTCAGTCGCCTATCAATAACCATTTATTACAACTCATCAAATATATAATAAAAACTTACATAACAATCCGCTTGCATCATTATAATAAGGAATTAAGTCAACCGAAAATTAGAGTGCGATCAGAACTTACAAAATTAATTACTTTTAAACACCAATGAGAATAATTAATGCCTTATAGTATAAAAATAATAATTTATATAATTTAATCTGAAAATATATCATCATTTTATGTATACTAATTTTATTCTTAATTATATAATAAAAATTATTTTCATATATTGTATAATACAAGGTAAAAGGTAAAATTGTAATTGAATATAAAATATAAATGAAAATTGAGATTGATTAATTATCTATTATCTGTTGTAAATATTATTATAAAAATCAAAATAAATCATTTACCTATTATCTTAGATAATAAATATTTCATAAAAGAACGAAACATTTTGAGTTTTTCTTCCATTGATTCCCGAGTATCGGTCTTTCTCTCTCACTCGATGTTGAATTGTGTATTCTCTCTCTATGCGCCGTCCATGAGTTAATAGGTCTATGTGCTCTACAGTGTCTATAGTTGTAAACACGTTCCTTAATATGCTGGTTAGGCCGTCTGGGAAATGGTTTCATTAGGTACTCTTTTAGTGGGAAAGCTTCATCTCCCAGAATTACACTATTTTCTGGCAAATCTAACCGATTCTGTATTATTGCAGTGTTAAGAGCTGATTTTCCAAAAATTCCTCCATCCGAAGCACTACCATAGCTCCCTATATCTAAACATGTAAAATCATAATCATGATCAACCAAGGCAAGAAGAACTATGCTGAATTGGTTCTTATAATTGAAATATAATGAACCAGAATGTTTAGGGGCCTTTATAACTATGTGCTTGCCGTCAATTGCACCTATACATTGTGGAAAATTCCATTTCATGTTGAATCCATTAGTTATTATTTCCCACTCAGCTTTTTTTTTTGGTACCTATAACACAAATAAAACAATTATAAAATGTATATTATATTTAAATACTAAAATTGTTTTCTGAATATTATAAATTCAATTTATTTGCTTATACCTCCACTGAAATTATTTTGTTTTTTAAGAACCTGAACAATGGAGAACTTTCAGAAGAAGTACACATCATGAAAGATACAGATAATGAAACCTCCATGACTTCTGAGATTTCTCCTTCAACTACCCAACATAAAATTATATCAACTCATAAAACCATAGTCAAAGACATTAAATCAAATAAATCAAAACCAAAAGAAACATTGAGGGAGGCATTAGATACTTTGAAAGATATTAGACATCATGTCCAGGACAATGAATTCACCCTATTTGGCCAACAAGTTGGTATTCAACTTAATAACCTGCCACTACGGAAAGCACTTGAAATGCAACAGAAAATCCAAAACCTACTGTATGAGGCTAGACTAGAAAACTTAAATTATAAATCATCAAGTTTAAACTGTAGCACACCAATTCCCAGCATAGATAGATCAACAATAAGCTCAATGTGTGACAATTTTGATTCGAACCATTTTGATGTAAATTTTTATGGAAATAGAAGTAAAAGTTTTGATACAAATGCTGTACATAATTTATATGATAGAAACAAAATTGATGATTGTGATGCTAACGTTCAAGAATCACACAACACAGAGGACCACATATTATTCAAGTTGGAACGACCAAAGCGAAGATGCTTAATATTGATTTTTTGTTTCAAATATTTGCAGTTATTGTGTTTGATGTTTGTTTAATACCTACTTGTTAATTTTAATTTTTATGTATCTATTAATTTACTAATGCGAGGATGCTTAATATTGATTTTTTGTTTCAAATATTTACAGTTATTATGTTTNAATATTTACAGTTATTATGTTTAATATTTGTTTAATACCTAATTGTTAATTTTAATTTTTATGTAGGTATCTATTAATTTACCAAAGCGAGGATGCTTAATATTGATTTTTTGTTTCAAATATTTACAGTTATTATGTTCAATATTTGTTTAATACCTAATTGTTAATTTTAATTTTTATGTAGGTATCTATTAATTTACCAAAGCGAGGATGCTTAATATTGATTTTTTGTTTCAAATATTTACAGTTATTATGTTCAATATTTGTTTAATACCTAATTGTTAATTTTAATTTTTATGTAGGTATCTATTAATTTACCAAAGCGAGGATGCTTAATATTGATTTTTTGTTTCAAATATTTACAGTCATTATGTTTGATATTTGTTTAATAAATAAAAGAAAACAAATTTAAAATTGTGAAGTCAATTTTTAGGTGAATATACCATTTAACCTAATAGACTACTGCTCCTAGTGCACAACAATTTTAACACCCATGTAGGAAAGTGGAAAATATAATTATCATTAAAACAAACCTTCCCACAATTTAAATGAAATAATTCTTAAGTTGAAACCATTATTATATATTAAACCATTGGAAGTACATGAAAATAAATGGAATTGAATTGAAATAGTTAGAAGTACATAGAGTCTAGTATACAATATATCAATTAATGGTTTACCACCCATATTTTAGTTGTCTTTTAATTAGTTTAACCAATTCCATTAGGGAGTGATTATAGTTCAGTGCTAATTACTTGTATGAATTCTTTTAACTGAGAAGATATAGCATCTAAAACTTCTTCCAAGAAACAGCTTATAGTATTCTTTGGAACTCTATATAAATATTGAAGTGATGATATTGAATCACCAGATGCTAAGTACCGAAGTACTACTTGCAATTTTATTGCTGCAGGTATTGCTGTTCTCATAACTGTATTTTGCCTTTGTATAATAGGACCAACCTAAAACAACATTACAAAATAAGTACTTATTTGTATTATAATAATAAATTATTGTCTTACCTTTTGCAAGAGTTCATAGAACATGTCATAATCAACCCGAAGGAAGTTACAAAACGACCTAGGATCTTCAAAATGCAACTCTTTTAATAACGTTCCTGATGCACCTAAAGTATTCCTTCTACTTATCCATTTTCTAACCCAATATTCACGTTTTTTGGTTTTTTTTTCCAATTCCAGAATAAGTATTTGTTCAAAAACATCTGCTGCTGCGTTTAATACATAATTATTTGCCATTTTTATTATATTTATATTATTATTATAATTTGACTGTGATCACATGGGAGTTAAATAAAAACGAGTAAACTAGGTACTAGGTAGTAGTAGTGGAGTTACTGTATTGTGCGTGAGTGCTGCAATGCTGCGGCACTGGTGTGAACAGAACACGACACTTCACCCTGTGGCATCAAACATTGAACAGTGTCACGCAACTTAGTGTCACAGTGTTAATGACACTTAGTGTCACCGTGTGAACGAGGCTTAAGTACCACTGTTACTTAGGATTCATCTATATTAATATTAATTTTGTACATATTTAACAATAATATGATTGCAAAATATTATTTTGTTCTCTTTTAGTTGAATTTTGTACTATTACCGACTAATATAATATCTTATTAAGTAGGTAACCTAATGTTATTTTAATTAATTTAAGGACTTAAAATAAAATTGACTTTTGTTTAAGGGGCCTCAACACTAACATTTATTAAGGAAAATTATATAGGCAATTTCTAAACTTCTGTTGTGGATGTGTTAGTAATTGTATATTCGTAAATGGACATTAGTGTTAGTAAGTCAATTTAGATGGTTTCCGCGTAAGACGCGTCGACGGCGCGACCGCGAAAACAAGATAAGATAATATTACCTACGTCGTAATATATTACCGATTCTAAATATTATGGGAATCATCAAACATTTTTATTTATCAATTTTTATACTTACCTACAAACTTTACCGTAATAGTAAACAGCTTGATAGTTATGGTGTGAACTGTGTCTGATAATCATAATATCACTTGACAGTTGATGACATTAGCATTTACATAATATGTTTGACTAATTATATAAAATTTTAATCAGTGTCGGCCTGGCATACCAAAGGCTCATGGATCAGTTTTTTAAGGGGCCCCATAATGAACGAGCCTTGGGCGTTGGGCCGTATAAAGAAAAATTGTTCCTAAAAATTACGTATGGTTAAATATTTCGATAAATACTTTGAAGAGTCTATACTCCCTATAAAGACCAAGAACACGTCACCACGCAAATAAAAAATTGACAAGACCCTAAAATAAAATATGAAACGGAGGGGCCCCGGCTACATTCGCAGACCATCGGCGATGGCCAGGCTGACAGTGAGTTTAATACATTTTATTATTTCATTATATTTGTGATTGAAAATTGAAAATACGTAGGTATTAACAACAATCTCTGCATGGCACTTATTGTTCATATAAGGAACATTGTTCAGTTGTAATTATAATATGTTTATTGATTATGATTAATTACAACCAATTGGCATTAGTTCAAATATAAACAACCGAACATCATATTTATACCATAATATTTGAATAAATACATTTAAACAACATAAATTGAAATATAAATTGAAATATAAAAAAAGTAGAACAGAAAAAGTCAAAATATTTATACTAATTTCACATTTTTTTTCCCTTTCTTCTGTTTTGCTTCCAAAATATAAGTAGGATTTCTAATCTGCATGCTTCTGGAATGTCTCGGATCAACTAGTTCCGGTAAAAGACAGTTAAAGAAAAAATTTTGCAGCTTTGGAAACATATTATTTTCCCAAAATTGATCATCTTTTTCAATAGTTTCGTATTTAATACCTTTTTTTGTCCAATATGCCATAATTCCAAATGTTCGGCCTGTTACATGCAACTGTCCTTGGATTTGGTAATAGTATTTATGATGAGTATTTATTCCTATAATATCTTTATCTTTATTTATTTTCCATAGAGTAATTTTTCTTTGGCGTATCCCTTCCTCAGGCGTTATATTTGCAGCAGATATGGGACATTTAATTTCAACCAATGTGTCATTACCTATTAGTCCATCAGGTGTTGCTCCTAAGAAATGATTTTTGGTGTCTATAAATAAACCACATTCACTAATACTTACACCCAAAACTGTTTCCAATTGTAACTTTGCCTCTTGTTCATGTTCCCGCCCATATTCCATTGCTTTACAATCGACGTTTGATGAGTACAGCATACTTTTTACAACATTTTCACATCCTGTATCAGCTCGTAAACAAATTATGCGTCCAAAATTTGAAGCCGTAATAAGGTGCCTTCTATATTCCAACCATTTGCTTGATGCTGATTGTTCCACTGTTTCTTTTTCAATGACATCGCGGTTAGCTGCCATTTCTTTTAACAAATTAAAAATATTTTTTTTTTCATCATCAAATTGCTCGGTGGTCATATCCGGTTTTTGTGACTTTTCACCGTACGACGGATCAACGTAGTCGCTTTGGAACTTCAATTTAGTTCTGTATGTTTTGCTTCTCAGTTCGTTTTGACGCATTTGTTTTTTCTGGCGTTGTATTTCCAACTTCGATGATGGCCATTTCTTCCCAGGACTATGCTGCAATAAAGTTTTATGCAATTTATATAGTGGCCGTTTTGTATTCTTCATCACTGTTGCAGCAGCCACACGCCCTTGGTATGACCTCGACATTGCAAAATTAATCCTTTTGCCACCAATTAATTTTGCTATAATGCCATTCAATGATTCGACGACGTTGCTATCCACGTTTTGCAACAAACTACGGCTATTTCTTGCTAAATACCGTACAGGTTGCATTATATTTGAATAAAAATTTGAATCAGTTGATTTAATTTTTTCAAGATAATTAACATCTTCAACTTTATCACAGAAATAAGATGCACATTTATCATGTTGACCAAAAACGTGATCGATAAAATTTAAAATGTCATTTCGTAAATCATTTTCTGTATTTTTATTTTGTCTTCGATACTTGATTGCCGAAACGATTCCTCTCCTTAACCTTAAAATATTTTTTTGTAGCAACTTCCTGTGGTCCAATTTACCAGCTTCTTTTTTGGTAGTAATTTCTTTTAATTTCTTACAAAAATTCCGAAGCAAATGATTTTTACACTCAATTTTTTCGATTGTGAGATTTTTGTAGGGACGTGCATCCAAAATTTGCTTATAAACGCTGCTGTCTCCATCACCAATTAATTTATGGTACCTTATTCCATACATGCGTTCACTTTCTTTGAACCCCTCAACAACTATCGCGGCCTCCATTGCTGATGACCCATCAG